TCTATTTCGGGCTTTAGAAAGCCCTTGAGAACATTTTACAATGTGGTTTTCAATTTCAACTATGTAAAGAACAGGGAAAACCATGTGTTTGGTAGCTGGTTTAGTGGTGTGTTCATGCATATACGTAGAATTCCTTAAGAAAAAGAGTGCACTCGGGAGGCAGAGGCAGGTGGATCTCTCTGAGTTCAAGGTCAGCCTGGTCTACAGAGTGAGTTCCAGGACAGCCAAAGTTACACAGAGAAACCCTGTCTCAAAAAAAGAAAGAAAGAAAGAAAGAAAGAAAGAAAGAAAGAAAGAAAAACTGGCAATCAGAAGAAACCATCAAAGCTAAAAGAACTGAATTTGATCAGTTTTGAATGTGAAATTCAGTTATGCATAGCCAACTTTGGGCTATATATACCAAGTTTCCTTCTGCAAAGAGGTATTTACAGGTATATTTCCACACTGCTAAAAATTAAAACAGATGCACCGCACACATACACACACACGCATGCACACATGCAGAAACAGACACACGTATGCAGTCATCTCAGTGTATTTGCACCAAGGACAATGAGCAGAGCAGACAAATGAATCTGGCAGGTAATTTACCATTCCTGCTTGATTTCGTCAGCGGAGCCTCGGTGTGTTATGAACCAGGGAAATTAGACTTGTCAAGAGGAAGATAGCATCAGTGTTTAATGATTGTTTTCCTTTACCTGACAGCACAATTACTCTCAACAAAATACACTGTTATCTAAGAGAAAAAGTTTAAGCAGTCCAATAATGAAAACAGTACTGCTAAAGTTTTAAGCAAGCTTGACATCTTGGAGCAGCTGGTATGTGTCCTGGTTTTTCTTTCTGTAGATTTGACACATGCTAGGCTAACCTGGAAGAGGGAGCCACAACTGAGAAGGTGCCTCCAAGAAGACTGACTCATGGGAAGCTTGTGGGCAATTTTCTTAATTAGTGATTAATATGAGACAGTCTCCCACTGTGGGCAGTGCCTCCCTGGGGTAAGTGGTCCTGGGTTATAAGGAAGCAGGCTGAGCAAGCTATGAGGAGCAAGCCAGTAAGAAGTGTTCCTCTGTGGTCGCTGATTCAGGTTTCAGTTCCTGCCTCCAGGTCCCTGTCTTGAGTTCCTGCCCCAAGTTCCCTCCATTAATGACAATGAAGCGAAATGGACCCTTTCCTCCCTTTGGCCACTGTGTTTTTTATTACAGCAATGGAAACCCTAAGGCAATAGGTATCCTCTTATGATGGGCACAACACTGCATCACTGCATTTAGGGGAGGCAGAAAAGCCAGCATACTGAGTGTATTCATGGAGAGATGTTTCTCTCCTTTCCTTCTGCATGCTGAACAAAATGTAGACATTTGAACAGAGTTAACAGCTCTGTGCTGGTTATGCCAACCCAGAACTACACAGGATCACATCACTGAAAATGCTATGTTAGCTGGGCAGAGTGGCTCATGACTTTAACCCCAGGCCTCTCAAGTGAGCTTCTGGCCAGCGTGGTCTACATAGTGAGTTCCAGGACAGCCAGAGCTACATGGTGGAACCACAAGTCTGAAAAAAGAGAAGGACATCCAAGGAAAAAGAAAGTCCTGTGTCCGCAGGAGCCTCAAGTCCTCCGGACCCAGGTGTAAGCTTGCCCAAGGAAAGAGAAAGTCCTGTGTCCGCAGGAGAAGCCTCAAGTCCTCCGGACCCAGGTGTAAGCTTGCCCAAAGATGATGGAAAAGGTTTTAATATGTCCCTTTGCCTTCAGAATTTGAAATTATTTCACGTGGGGTGGGCAGTGTGGGCATACAGCTGTGTACACACACGAGAGACCACAGAACATAGGCATTATTCTTCAGGAACCATCCACCATGGTTTTGAGAGTGTCTCGCTAGGCTCACTGGTTCTTCAGCTATTGAATGCCACCACACACAACTGATCTTTTTCAGTGGGTGCTGGGGACCACACTCGTCCTTATTCTTATGTAGCCAGCACTTTACCAGCTGACCCATCTCCCTGGCCCCAATATACATATTTCCGATATTTATACTGAAAGAATAAATAAATACAACCTTTGGAGGAAAAAAACTTTAGATTTCTTAGACATCAAATGTATCTCATTTTAACCAGTCGCCAAGAAAATCACCTTATTCCAAGATGGTGTTTTCCTAGAAATGAAAAAATAATAATTAGAACAGTTCCATGAAGGAACTAGATTCATGGACTGGATAATTATTGCCCAGGCACCCACATACTAACAGACTGGTTCCAGCATGGTGATATAGGGAATAGGACTCTGGGGTATCTTCTGAAAGGGTATTGGGACTCTGTGAATTCTTCCTCCAGCTCTTTCTCTGGGGGGCTGCCATGCGGTGAGCAGTTTTGATCCACTGCAGTGTCTGCCTCATACACCACCAAGCGTGCTCTTCAATATTGCGAGTCAAGATCACCTTTTCTGTCTGTCAGTGATGGCTAACAGTAAAGCTGCTATCACAGTTGGAATTAGATCACTAAACTTTGATTGTACGTTTTGAAAAGTGTTGATTAAACCATTTTATGAAGAAACCAGAGGACAGGGAGGGGCCCAATAGCGAGGGTCTCTCAGATGTCCTTCTCTGTGAAGTTCAATTACTTCCTAAAGCCTGAGAAGGCTAGTCCTGTCTCATCCTACCTCAGAGAAGAACCTGTAAGAGAGATGACATGATAATAATAATGGAAGTAGGGCTGGTAGGATGGCTCATCAGGAAAGGCGCTGGCCACAAATCCTGAGGACCTGAGGTTAATCCCTGGAACCCTTGTGGTGAAAGGAGAGAAATAACTCCAGTGAGTTGTTCTCCAATTTCTACATGCACATTGTGGTGTATACACATCCCACACACAACACACATATCATACACATACACACACACCACACATCATGCATATACACATGCACGCACACACCACACACATGCACACACACACATAGCACACACATATACACCACCACACATCATGCATACACACCACACACACATGCACACCACAATACACACATGCACACACACATGCACACACATACACTCTAAATGTATAAAACAATGGGGACAGTAGCATTAGAAACAATAAGGCTAAAAGAAGCAGGGATGCTGGTGCAATGGACTGGGCTGTGAGCCTCCTCATCTGTTCTTTTCACTCCATAGTCAGTGCTCATCAAAAGCAAACTGTTCAGCTGCCCAGTGCTGTACTCAGGCCTCTAAGCTACAGTTAATTTTACAGTTCATCCAAAATGAAAAAAGTAGTTTAGGTGAAATTATGCCTTTGAATCTTGAAATAACTCTGTAATTACACCTTTCCTGGTTGCCCTTAACTTGGAAAGCTGCCAGTCAACACTCTTCACCTTCTGATGGAGCAACCATCCCATGCTTCTCCTTTGGGGTAGTCTTCAACCAACTACAGGGGTATTTCAGCAGGTCATGGTCCAACAGACTTCGTGTGCCCAATGCTTTTGCTCTGCCATAGGCTCATGCATTCTGAGCTCTTTTAAGGCACGCAAGGCTGTGCCACAATGCCTAACAGGTTAGGAGTATTGGGTATTGTCAGGCTACAATGTGTTGATTGGGACATAACACAATATTCTACTGAGTCTCTCTCTCTCTCTCTCCCCCTCTCGTCTCGGAGCTATCAGAGCAAAGCCATCTCTCGGTCTAGACAGTAACTTCCTGCTAGGCGGCATAGATACTTTTGAGGTAACAGAACACGGAACCATCTCAAGAAGCAGGCTCCTTGTGAATTTAGGTTGGAATGGAATTTCTCCATTGAATTACATTGAACTCAAGAATAATAATAATAGTAATAAATACTGTATTCTAATTTTGCCCTCTGCTACCATAGTATAAACAAAGCAATTTATACAGAGTGACAGCCAAAGCGGATGACTCAGCTCCTACATCGTGAGTCACATTGGCATGAGCCAGAGCATTTCCCTCTGCAAACCACAGCTTCTTGCATCCCTGATCATAGCCATCTTAGGTGGTGACAGAGCTGGCAGCAAAGCACAGGCTGAGACACACGTTCCCCCGTGCAAGGCATTCACATGAAAATATGAGCAAGTAAACCAAGGGCATTGTTGAAAGGAGAGCTAGCAGGAAAGGGGAAAGCGGGTTAGAAAACTATACCACAGATTTCAATGGGTACACATGAACTGATAGATCGCTGGCCCAAAGAAAATGTCCAAAGGTAAAATATATACAGAATTCAGTATATGATAAAGATGTCATCTCAAGTAAGTGGCATCATGCTCACTTCAAAACATAGCCTATTTGGGGCTGGAGAGATGGCTCAACAGTTAAGAGCACTTTCTGCTCTTAACTTGGATTTGGAGGACTTGGGTTTGCAGCTCACAACCATCTGTAACTCCAGTTTCTGGGAATCCAATGCCTTATTTTTGCTTCCATAGGCAACAGGAATGGCACTTCATACACACAAAATAAAAATAATTTTAAAATCAGTTACATAAAAATTAAGATAAATAGAATAAAATGTGCTAAGAAAATCAATTGACCAAAAATAAAATAAAATTCAGTTATTTTTCACGGGATCTCCGGGGCATCAGCTGCATCAAGTGAACCTTATGAGAGCACTGCCATGATAGCCTAGGCTAAACGCCACGGGAAGTGGCACGTCCATGCCATGATTGCCTCTTTCACTAGCCCACACCTCAGCCTCCATGGCTACTGTTGGTCTCCTGGCATCTTCTCCAACCAATCCCATCTTCTAGTTAGGAATCGAACCTTCCCATTGGCTGTTGCCTCATTTATGACATCATTCTCCCTCCAACCCTACCAGCACCTGGTAGAATCTTGGTGTTTCCATGGTGATGACTGTAAACAACTTTGGATCATCACAGGTCCAGGTGACCAGTGACCAGTGAGTGCTGTCTGATACTGGACACACTTGCCACTGAGGTCAGCTGATCAGGAAAAGCCGACCGATTATCTTGCTCCATTGTACTTTGGATTGCTGATCCTCTCCCCTTGACCATGTCAGGTAAGGATAGAGACTTTAAAACATGTGATCTTCTCCATTGACTTTTACTATACTAGTAAATCTTTGCTGAATGTGGATAGTATTGATGTTGATATAGATATCTAGATTTGAATGTCACATTTAGCTTTGGTTCTTACTAAGTAGGTGATTTTAGACAAAAAGTTTATTCTCAAGTGTTTTCCATCCGCCTCAAGGAGTGAACAGTGTCACTATGCTTGGGTCCTGTACTGTTTGGTTTTCAAAGAAAGTGAAGAGGGAATAAAATCAGGCTCTTTTGGATGGTATTAAACTACAGAGACACGGGAACATGAACAAGGCACGCAGAGATCTAGCACTCCACACCACTAATGAGACAGTCTCCCCCCACTACTGTTTCCAGTCTTAGTTTAAAATTCAGGGCGACTCTAACAGTATTGGTCACACCACGGATGGTGGCACACAACTATAATCACAACACAGAGAGAACTGGGTGGGATGGAGATCAGTTCAAGTCTGACATGCTCTACACTGGCCTCTCTCCATACTCACCAAATGAATATTGACTATGGACAAAATGGCGACTGTCATGTTGTGCAGTCACTTGGACTTCCCTGGATTAAACATGGAGAGTGGAAGAGAATAAGAGGACTGTGGAATCTGAGAAGGCAGTTGTTGTACTGAAATTAATATTGACAGTGTTGCTGGAAGGACAGACGCACAGGAAGTCAGGGAAGGGGGCAAACACAGTACGGGTCTAGAAAGTATATAAATATATGAAGGCACACTGCAGAGGGGACCCTGGTGGTCCACAATGGTAGTTTAGAACACAATGTTGAAGATGACCACAGATTATAATCAAAACAGACAAGGCATTGTCATTTCCCAAGCCATGTTTAACCAAACGTACTGTTCAGATTAGTCTGTACAAAGGTTCCCTGGCACATATAGAAAGAATATCCTGATCTGGTCCCTGGCTCTTACACTCCATCCAGACCACTTTCTGCCCAGTTCCCCATGTCTCATGTGCACTGGTGGTGTTGGATAGGATCAAATGGGGCTGCGAAGTCCAGTCAGTTAGAGTCTGACCATGGCAACTGACACGCTGTTGTGAGGGGGGATTCTCACAAGGATTCCCCCTTAGAAGAGATATAAAAACTAACAGTTACTGAGGAGCTGTTAAGAAAACAATTTAATCAACAGATATTAAATTGCGAAGCAATCATATTCAGAGATGAACCCCATAAAACATTAGCAGTCCCAAGAGGACACACTAAACTGGTGCAAACAAGAAGAAATGTTGTCAGTAGGTTGTATTTCTGAAATCATATTTGAATAATGCTTAAAAGTTATAAGATTATAAGAGATCCTCAATTATACAAGAAATGCAGGGGGAAAAAAGAGAGAGGGGGAAGGAATAATTACCGCAATTTGGTACACATTTGTTAAACATCATTTCAGAAAAAAACTCAATAAAATAGAGATTGGCCTGGTGGACATGGCAGGGGCTCCAGCACCAGCACTTTAGAGGCAGAAGCAGACCTGTCTGTGTGATTTCAAAGCCAGACTGATCAACGTAGAGTGAGTTTAGGTCACTCTATACTGTAAGATCTGCAGAGAACAGGACAAAGTTCCAGGTATGGAATATGCCTATGGGTCTCTTCCCAATAAAAACCTCTCTTGTAGAATATATTTGCGAGGAAGTGTCCCAACAGGCACTATTATATTACAATCAGGAAAAAGGAGCATCGTGTCTAGATCTGAGTGAGCATTAAGCCAGATTGACCAGGATTTCCATGCCCACACAGGAAAAAGCAGACAGTTCATCTAGTGATTGTCATCCTTCAAAGCCCCACCGATCAATCTTAACCCATTTGCTGGCATATGTAAGGGAACATAGATGCTAGACTCTCCCACTCAGTACAACCTGGAGATAACACAGTCCCTCCCAGAGGGTAGAAAGCTTCCATCTCAACTTTTTCCAACTCTCTTCTTGCTTCCTACAGAAAATTGCCAAAGTGCACCTTTCACTGGGACAGAATGTGCTCTGCAACCCTCTGTGCCTGTGCTGAGGAATGCCACACCCTCAGCAGGAACTGTGTGCAATTTCTATGGGGTCTGCACCCCAGCTGTGAGCTCAGCATGGCTCCTGTCATCAGACTCCAGCACATGCTGCCAGCAGCTCATGGACAGTGCCTGTCTTTACCAACGAGCTGGCACGACCATGCTGACTGAGCCAACTGACCAGAACCAGATCTCTACTTCGACATTTTCCTATCCAGGTGTTCTCCACTGGGATCTCAGAGAAAGCACCACCAGAAGGGAAGCTCCATTCCTGGATGCCCCTGTAACTGTCATTGACCAGAATACCACCCCCTCGTCTAGGTCTATAACAGCCCAGTGTGACAATACTTTCCATATCAATGCATTACCGCCATCCTATCCAACACTGTCTGCCTGCCTTGTACAGGCAACGCCATCAAATCTACCAGATCAACGATATATCCTGGCACCTTGCTACCTGGATGGAAGTCAGGTCTATTACAATGACCAGAACAGCCTGGGTCCTCCGATGGCTGAAGAATTCTGGCAGTGCCTGCAGGCCTATGGCTCTGTGTCCTGCTCTGGGAATCAGGCTTCCTCTCAGCACCCAGGGATGGTGATGGCACTACAGGAGATTCAGCCAATGAACATCCAAACACCTTTCTCCACCTGTCCCATCTACTGGCCCACATCTGCTCAAACCATGCCAGACACCAGTCTTCAAGGTGAGTAAAGCCAGGAAGGGAGGTGTGAGATCAGCCCTCAGAGGAGACACAGCTCTACCTTTCAGAAGTGGATGTCCACACAGAGGAAGAATGGGAGTCCTGACATGTAGGCTATTGCTCAGGCTCATTACCCCTAAATTCAGTCTCTATAATGAGAGAGAATACAGGAAAGTGAGTGATATTAAACCTTCATTAAGACATGTCCAAGGACCACACCACAGGAACGCATTTCACTGCCAAGGCTAATCAGGCCCATGTAGCAGCTCACTAAAATCACCTCCTTCCTAATCTATGTCTCCAGATTCTAGATGACATCGAGAATTTTATCTGTTTTTCTACAACTAAGTTTCCCCTGAGTTGAAACTAGTATCCAGAGAAATGGAACCCTGAATCTGTAGTGGAGGAAGTCTTCTCCCACACTCCAAGTGTCCGCTGTGACAGTCTGCCTTGACCTTTGTAATATTGATAAGCAGGGTTGAAGCATCTCACCCTATCTGTCATGATCAACCTCTCTCTTTTTCTCTGTCTCTTTTCCTCCTCTACATTTCTCTTCCACTTTCTCTTTTTCTTTTACTCTTTCTTTCTGAATCTTCAGCAGTGACCCAAGGCCAAGACTATGTAGACATGTTCTCTGTTACAAAGTTGATGCTCAAAGCTTTCGCAGTCTTACATTTTGACATCACTAACAAAAATTCTGTGAAACGTGAACCTTAAGGAATGTCAGGGCTTTTGAACCGCTTGCCTTTCAGAATTGAGTAACTGATATGGATACCTAAACCCAAATAAAAATCCAGGCTTCAGGGGCCATATGAGTAATACAATGAACAGAAAGAAACTGGTGGAGATGAGTAAGATTAGGAAACAGTGAGCAACACAACCTGTCTCAGAGCAAACTCCCAAGGCAATGAGAGGCACTGTTTCAAAGGAAAATGGGGGAGAAAGGGAAGAGCGCACACCAAGGAATTCTGTCACCTCCCCATGATCACTAAGCATGTACACACCACACAAACACAAGAGAAAACGTGATCTCACACGGTCATGAGAAACAAATGAGTAGTTACTATGTGTCTCCAAAGAGGGCTGCTTTCCCTGCTCCTCCAGCAGAGCTCATAGCAATGCCTGCAACACTGCTGCACGAGCCTCAGTGCTCAGGTACACTGAAAGCGGGGGTAGCATCTCACTTACCAGGCACTGACTTCGAACTTCCTCTTTTTCAGTGGTGGAGAGGGAGACAACCCTGGGGTTGACACCTTCAGGGCAGACACTGTGTCTGCTGCAGAGTCCAGACCTCGGCAATGCCTGCACCCAGGATGCCCAGATGAAGACAGCACCTGTCAGTGGGAACAGGTCATTAATTGCCCTCATGCACAGTCCTTCTGAATTCCTGGCCTTGCCTCCAGCCCCAAGCCTGGAAAAGACACAGAAGAACAATGCAGATGAGATGAATGCTGAGCAATCAACACCTCTGGATTCCTATGAGGGCACAAAATGTAACCAAGACGCATCACCCCTCCCTTCAGCATACCCTGGCATGCAGCAGCCCTTGAACTACAGTGATGTTGGGAGCCTGAGGCAGAAGCTAGCTTCTCAAAATGCCACTTTGGGAAACAGTAGCCTTGGTCTGGAAGACCCTGAGGCTCTGCAGAGTGTCATGGAGTCTAGCAATGACTTTGCAGACATGACTACTCTGGTGGCAGATATTCACCTTCCCCAACTCTTAAACTTCAACACTGGCCTTGACCAAATGGAAGATCACACAGCAAGCCAAACCAAAGACTCCAAAGACATCAGGAGGGACCAGGCCCAGTCACGCACCAGCATCTTTAGTGGACTATCTGAACTGGGCATCAAGAAAAACCAGAAAGTCTCTGATGTGTTTCATGGAGCTCTTCAGGCCAGAACCCATCACGAGGATATGCTGAAGGAAGATGATCCTGGAACCATAGACAACACGGCCAACCACGTGCAGGGCAAATCTCAGATATTTGTACCCAAGAGGCCCAGCGTAGCAAGGGCACAGGGGAAAGAAAAGGCCAAGGACACCAGAGGAAACAGCTCCAAGAAAACAGAGGAGCTGAAGCCATCAAGTCACAGAGTCAAGGCAGAAGAGAAGCCCGCCATCCCAAAGACCAAGAGGAAGAGGAATCCACCTGAGCTCAGCCATGACAGCTTTAAGAAGCCTCGAACTCACCTCGGCATGCACATGCTGGCGTCTGTGCAGGTCTTTCACCCACTGGGGAAGAAGAGTGAGAGGAAAACTGGCGTCTCCTCCTCCCGGGCTCTGCTGAACTTGAGCAGCAACAAAGATCCCAGGACAGGCCCAACCGCCACATCCCTGGGAGATGCGCCCCGTGAGGGTCGAGGCCCTGGTAGAATCCCGGGCAATGCTCAGAGAACAGAGAGCAGTGCTCCCAAGCGGTGTCCATCTCTGTGCCTGGATGAGCTGTCCCCAGCTGGGAAGGTCAAATTAGTACCTCTGCCTTTCCTAGCCCTGGACAAGCCTCAAGACAGACCTGTTTCCAGAAAGCTTCACTGCCTGGCTTCGCACAGGCCCACTACAGCTTACCCAGTGAGGTCTCAATCCCACACTGCTAGGCAACCCAAACTCAAGTCATCCCAACCAGCTCCTGCCAGCACATCACTGATGGCCTCTGACAAGTCGGCTCTGCCAGTTGCCACCAGTGCCACACGTCCAATTAGAAGCAAGCCCATCCAGTCTTGCCCTGGGCCTCAACCGCCTGCCTCTTTGCCTGCACCCTACAGAGCATCATCTCACACTTCACTCCACAGGGAGCCTCTTTCTTTTGCCACAAACAAGACCCTAGATCCTCCCCAGCCTCAATCCCAATACCTGCGGCAAGATTTCAGCCACTTACCAATTCCTTGGAAGAAAGTCAACATTCCGGGACCAGTCATCTCACAGCCTATCACTGAAGAGCAGAGGCCAGAGAGGGAGGCCATGAAGAGGCGGGCTCAACAGGAGAGAGAGAATGCTGCCAAGTGTACCTCTCTGGGAAAACCACAGCTTTTCCTTCAGAGGGAGAAAGATATGGAAATTTCGAGATATTATGGCTATGCAGTGTAAGTGCTGCCCAAACCTTTGGGACACAACGCTATTCATCACACACAGGTAAGATGTAGATACACATAGATATTCATGCATACATGAAGTTTAGAGGCTTAGCTGAATGTGTAGATATGTAGATACATACATAGTAATGCAGAATAATATTTAGATGTATGCATATATTTGAAGGGAAAGACATAGTTTATAAATTTATAAATATTTGAAGACACTATAATTGACTGTAGAAACTTAAGACTGCGATTTTATCCATGAGTATATAGAGAGGGCTTTGATGTCTTCCTTAGAACTTTACTATTTATGTTTCCTAATTACGTAATAATACATGTGACATAGATACAACATATGCTATAAGTCAGTGGTACTACTTATTTAATGTTATAGCTGTAGCAAAAAGCTCTAGTGGCAATAAGATTATTTTCCTGGAATTTAATTTTCAAGATTCTAGGATGATGTGGGAGTCCCCTCTGTATGCTGTGAATATGTTTTATTACCACTGGTCATTAATGAGTAAATCTGTTTCAGCCAATGACTGAGCAGGTCAAAGCCATGTAGGAAATTTGAACTGAGATGTAGAGAGAAAGCAGGCAAACTCAAAGAGATGCCATGTAGCTGCCGAAGGAGAAAGATGCCTCAATGCCCGAACATTGCCAATAGGTCACAGACTCACGGTGATAACAGGTTAATATTACTTGGCTTTATTAAGATGTTAGAGTTAGCCAGGAATATGCTGGGGTCATTGGCCGAACAGTACTGTAATTAATGTGATTTCTGTCTGATTATTCACGTCAGAGTTACTGAACATGGTAAGTTTCCTAGAGTGCATACTGTAAAGTGAACACACTACTGCTGTCGCCACATCTCCTCCCGTTTCAAACCTCAAACACGAGCCCTTTAGACATCAGTACTCTGCCTGCATTTCATGATATGAAACATAGGGTCCATGTGTGCATAATCAAGATCCTACCTTGAAAGAAATTCTACAAGGCGGAGTATCTTTCTGAGATGGGTTGATTTGGATTACTGGGTTTATCTCAAATTGTATCAATCTTTGAAATTATCCATTTAACATGTTTGTTTTTCGTGTGTGTGTGTGTGTGTGTGTGTGTGTGTGTGTGTGTGTGTTGTCCACATGAACTACTGCGTAACAAATGTATGGAGTGCCCAGAGAGGCCAAACCTGGGCATCAGTTCTCTGGAGTCTGTAATTAAGAGAGACTGAAAACCATCATGAGGTGCTCTGAATTCTACCTGGGGATTCTGCGAGAAAATCAAGTGTTCTTCTCTAAGGAGCCATCTCATCGAACCCGAGTTGAGTACACATAATGGACTGACATTTGATCGCCTGATATTTTCCTCCATCCTGACCTGTCCCTGAATCTTAACCTCCTTTCCCTATTCTGTGCTCTAACTGTTTCAGAGTTTGTAACACATTGTCCTCTGAGGCATATGGCATTAACCTTGTATGGGGTGACACATAAGAAATAGAATTAATTTATATATAAGTTTAGTTTCTTGAGACAATGTTTCTCTTCATATCACTGAATATTTGGGAACTGACCTCGCTAATCAGGCTAGCCTTGAAATCACAAAGATCTGCCTGACACTGCCTTTGTAATGCCTTTGCCTGTGTCCCTGCCTCGAGAGTGCTGGGACTAAAGGAATGCACCAAAATCCCAGGTGAAAGCACCTTCCTTTCTGTATATGTGGGTCACCGATTTCCCCACCATGATTATGTGAGGATGTATGTTAGCAACAGTACATTTTTCATAGCTACCAAAAGTCACAGAGGCTGAACTGCTTGCGCTTACAACTGTAATTCAACACAGGTTCATTGTTCTGAAAAATTGCTACTCAAACAGAGATCATAGGAACGCCTTCCCCATCACTATAAGGGCCTAAGTGGAGAGGGCACAGAAGGAGGGGAGCATCTCACTTACCAGTCACTAACTTCTTCCTTGACTCTTTTTCAGTGTTGGAGAAGGGGGTGTCCCTGGGACTGACACCTCAGGACAGACAGTCCATCACTTGCAGTCCACAATGTTGCTAGTATTCCACCCTGGATTCACAGATGAGGATGCCACCTGTTGATAGGGACAGGTCATTGACTGCCCCTATCCAAAGGTCTCCCAAATTCCTGGCCTGGCCAACAGCTCTCATCCTAGGCGGAAAAAAAAGAAAACAATGTGAATTAGACGACAGCCAATCTATCAATGCTTAAGGATCCCTTAAAGGCACACAGGAAACCTAGTCCCATCACTTCTCCCTTTAGCACACCCCAACTTGCAGCACACGCTGTGCTTTACTGACACTAACACCCTGAGGCAGAAGCGTGCTGTTGACCATGTCTCCTTGCTAAGCAGCACCTTTGGCCATCATGAGCCTGGCACATGCACACTGGGATGGTCTCCAGCATAGACTTTGCTGACATGACTACACCGGGGCCAGATATTCACCTTCCACAATTTTTCAAATAACTCAATGTATTAAACATATTCAGAGATGCACAGCATCCTTATCCAAAGACTCCATAGTCATCAGGAGGGAATAAGCTGGGGCTCATGAGCAAGACAAAACCAAGAGGACCAGAGGAAACAGCTTCAAGAAAACAGAGGAGCTGAAGCAGTTTAGGAAGAGTCAAGTCAGAAGAGAAGCACACCATCCCAGGACCAAAAGGAGGAGGAATCCACCTGTGCTCAGCCACCACAGCTTTAAGAAGCCTCGAACCCACCCCAGCATGCACACGCAGGAGTCCGGGAAGGGCTTTCACCTCTTGTGGGGGAAGTGAGAGAAGAAAACTGGCCTCCCCTGAACTCTGTCAACTCTTCCTGCTACTCTGTACTCTATTATTACAAGAGTTTATTGAACTTTGATCTCTGGGGAAGTGGCATTGGATATTCGCAGGGTGACCTTTATTCACTTTCTTTTAGTTCCTTGAGAGAGACTTCTCTCCAAAGCACTATATGTCCTGGTAATAACATCATAGACCAGGTTAGCCTTGAACTCAGTGATCTGCTAGACTCTGCCTCTGCCGCTTCCTCTGTCTTTTGAGTCCCTGCTTCAAGAGTGCTGCGACTAAAGATGTGCTTCAACAATGCAGGTAGAATCAAGATTCTTTCTGTACATGTGGATCACCAGGTTTCCCAGCATGATTTGATGAAGAGTCCATGTGTAGGCAAGGCGATTCTTGCTACTGACCTAAAATCACAAGAGACTTAACTGAATGTATTGACTTAGCTGTATGTATTTACAACTGCAACTCAACTCAGATTCTTTTTTCTGACAGTACCTTTGTTTCACTTGTAGGCTGGACTTCTGACAATGCCTATCTACTTCCAGATAGTACAACATCTGGATTTGACTCAAGGAATGTATTCAACCTGTCCCTAGATATTTATGGTGTTTGTATTTTCTCAATAGGTAATCCCCAGCTACTGTGTAGACACAATACTGTCCATTCTAACAAAGCCTATTTGCTGTCCAGAGTCACTGGTCTAGATAAATATAACACAGCCAGCCGGAAAGGATCCCACAACCTGTATCCAAGCATCCTGACAGGGGCACGATTGACTACAAGAGAATGAAGGAAAGCAATAGTTTAGGGAGGTCTCTGGTTTGATCACTCTCTCTGTGTTTTTTAACTACAGAATTTGGGACTCCATGAGTCTACTGGGCTTCACTGTACTCCTCAGAAAAACAGAAAGGCATTTGAATGGATATACATTCATGTTAAGATTATTATTTTAATCTTTATGTTTTCAAATTAAGTGTCTTGTAGAATAACACTTGTTGAACAAAGCTCAGGAATTATTTTACATATTAAAGCAATTAACAAAATGATGTACTGAATTCTTATCATGGACTTTAAGTCTCATTGTACTATTTATTCAATGAACAGATTTTATTCTGTATATTGTATACTGACAACAGCACTCAGTTCCCACTACCTGGCCATTCCTTAGCTCTCACCAAATATCTTAGGCAATGTTCTTCTGCTTATACTACTGCTTACAATTTCATGAATGTCTATATGTAGAGATGTGTCACCAAGGATCCACATAGTGAGACAGGATAAAAAGATGTTTCTGTGGGACTGGATACATTTGGTACAATATAATTATCTCGAGTTCCAAGGATTCTCCTGCAATCACCTTGACTGCATTCATTGTTTTTACTGTAACCAGTTCCACTGTGTGCAGACGTCACGTATTTCTTATCATTTGCTCTGCTACTGGACACCAAGTTCAGGCCCTAACACAGGTATCCGAATCCTGAACAAACTGCAATGTACAGCAATGTGCAGAGCAATAACCCATCCAACGCCTTGGAACAGCATGGACAGGAGGAGTGGTAGACCTGGTTTGGTGTTTAAAGACACTGTATACTGAAATACACAGAGGGTACAATACTTCACATTACACCCACCAACTGATCTCCTGCTCCTACGGAAGCAATACTTGCAAGTCCCCAACTTTCAGATAACTCTCCACTTCTTATATTCTGTACCATCTAGAAAGATCAAGTCCAACTGATCTTAGCTAAAATATCTCGATGGGATAGTCATTTTATTCTAGGGTAAAACACCAGGCTACACTACTCTACCTGACTGCATTAGCTCTTACACTGCATTCCTGCTTGCATGACAGCCCCTGATATTTGGATGGACTGCATTGTACATGATCCATTTTGGCATAAGAGGCAATCATCTCACCACAACAGCAGCCACAGCCACTGAGTATCAGCAGCCAAAACTTTTACAGTTTTTCCATCAGCACCAAAAGCACACAGAAAAGGAAGTCGAGAAAGGAGACAGACTGGAGCAGTTCCATCAACACTTGCAGCTACACTAATCTCACGCAGAAGCACAAAGGTTTAGAAGGGAAATACAAAGGCCCATCCATTCCCTTCAATAAAGCAGTAGGAGTTCCCTTCCCACTGTGACCTGTGATCCTCTGAGTCACAGGAGATTCTGTTGTGCATCACGGTACAACATAAAAATTC